ATATATATATATATATATATATATATATATATATATATATATACAAGAATTTTTACTGACTGCTGTATGTAGTTTTCCCGTCTTTGTGTCACGGTGGTGACACAAAGACCCACGCAGTCGAGACAAAGACACTGCGGATGGACGGTTTCTTAATTAAGAAACTTGACTTGACCGTGGATATAATCGCGGAAGTATCGAGACGGTGATACATCCTGACGTTTCACCGAGGGTATCTTTCCACACGAATATAAATTCCTCCATTATCCAGTGATTAGTTCACGAAAGGGTGCACAACGTTTCTTGCCAAGCAACCCTTCGGATTATTATTCCCGAGATGGAAGAAGTTTGATAGATACATCTCCCAACCCCAGAGATATATTTAGATTTAGTTGAATACAGCAGAGTATATTTACAAGCTGCGTTCATGATTAAAATGATATCTTTTCATGCAAACATTTCTTCAGAAATGAGTCTTTGAATCCGAGCTTTCTCTCCCACAAGTGCAAAAGAACTTTTTATTTGCATGTTTTTTTTTTTTTAATTCTTTTAACGCAAAAAATAGATTTTGTCACTAATAAAATGTTTTGAAAAGTCGTCAAAATTCTTACATTAAAGTGTGATCCACATTTCTTACACTATGAAAGTATTTTATAGTGTAAGAAATTCTTCTGCGTATCTAACTTGTGATATCGCTTTTACAAATAATTACCGAAACAGTTTAGATCAGTCTGAAAATTTTTATTAAAAAGAAACTATGCAATTTGCCACACACACACACACAATTGACATTTGAAAATTTTATGTGATAAAATTTTCTTTTTCGTGTGGGGGGTTCATTTTGGAATAAATATAAATATTATTTATATAGATATTTTTGTGTATAAAAATTCATTCGTAAAATCAAACGCCGCTCATGCAAATTCAAGTTCTCCTGCTTTACCAAAACTATAAATGTTTTGCGATTTTAAAAATAATATTATTGCTGCCATCTGTTGGAATCGGCAGAGAATAGAGAGCAGAAAGAAAAGAGAGCTTGCTGAGAGCAACCCTCTAAGCACGTAACGCATTTTAATAGTTTAGTAGGTATGAAATATGCCAGTCTTCGATAAAGTAGGTTGCTCTTCTGATTCGCTGATTCGATATTTCGAGAATCGAGAATCGAAACAACGATTCACTTCGATACTTCGAATATTTAAATTTATAAGCACTTTACGTGTTCTCTCGCTTTGAATCATCGCAAAATGCATGTCTTGTGTGGACATAAATTTTAGTCTAGTCGACGATATCAAAGGCGAGAAATAAAGACACAATTGGAGCGTACGTCTTCTCCGTGTGTCTCGTGGGAGCGCGAGCGGCCTCGAAACAATTCCACGAAAACTCGCCCGTTTGTCATTACCGGCGAGTGCGCGATACTGATTATATAATTATTCCAAGCGTTCGGAACTTTGTGACATATACGTACTCACCGATATTCATGCGGGAAACAACAACAATCGTCGAGAAACACAAAATGATTTGAACGAGATCCTTCACCGTATCGCGCGTTCGCCGCGTCTGCCCGCCAGAACGAAGGTATCGAAGCGCGCGCAATTGCGATTCTCGAAGTATCGAATCGACGCGCGCGATAGAGAGCTAAAGCTCGTATCGCACTATGGAGTTGTGAATTGACCAATTGGAGTAACGCGACCGACAAGGTGCGTAGCGCACGCACCGACAGGTCGCTCGTGGACATGGCTGTAGTTGCCAATGTGCGCACCATCCCTTGGCCGCTCTTCTCTCTGATTTTAAGCCTGTTCTACATTGATCGCAAGCGCAAACGCAAGGTATAGATCTCGTAGATTTGACCAATCACGCTGGTCAATTTGCTGATTTGATCAATACGATTAGTCAATTCTACCAGACCTGTTCCTTGCGTTTGCGCTTGCGATCAATGTAGAACAGGCTTAAGTCGGGCTTTGTAAACTCGCGCATGCGCGACTTTCTTCACTTCCGTCGTGTCGCATTGATTTACCATGTGCGTTTAGTATGGTTATACTTCAGATCAATTTTTTAAGAAATTGTTTTGGTATTAATTACAAGTAAAACAAAATGCAACACGACGACGTAAGTATAAAGATAACAACGACAACTTGATTTATTTAAGTGGTTTTAGTTTAATTTGTCATTACTTTCTAACCTTATTTTTTAAACAATCTCTGACACTTTTGTGCTCCAAAGATTTAAGTTAATAAACACGTTGAATATTTGATATTAAAACTATTACTTTTATAGGTCGTATGGAGTGTTATTAACAAGACGTTTTGTTCCTTCAAAGTAAAGTAAGTGTGCTCTCAAGAAATAATTGAGAACACAAAGGTACATTACCAATAGAAGTTTACATTCGTGATTATAATTGTACCTTTTGTTTGCAGTACGAAGACACAGAGATTTTGCAGAAATGAATACAACCTTACAGGTTTATGCAGTAGATCTGCATGTCCTCTTGCAAACAGTCAGTATGCTACTGTTAGGGAAGAAAATGGTATCGTTTATCTATACATGAGAACAGCAGAACGGTAAAGTGTATAAGCAAATCTTTGACAAGTGACTTCGATATTGTTTACAACAAGTTAAATTATTAAGTATGTTTGTGTACATCTGTGTTTACATCTATGTTAACTCTTTCAGAATCCACACACCTAAGGACAGTTGGGAGAGAGTCAAGTTGTCTAGAAATTTTGAGAAGGCAATACAGCAGATCAATGAAAATCTGCTCTACTGGCCTGGCTTTATAAAAGCAAAATGTAAGCAGAGGTTTCTCAAAATTACCCAATATCTCATTCGTATGAGAAAGCTCAGATTGAGACGACAAAAGAAGATAGTGCCAATTCAGAGAAAGATTGAGAGAAGAGAAAGGCGTAGGGAGGAAAAAGCTCTGACGGCTGCTAGATTAGAAACTGCTATTGAGAAACAACTTGTGGAAAGATTGAAGAAAGGAATGGTAATATGTCATGTGTTTGTCTTCTCGTGTGAAAATTTATTAGATTTCAGACATGTATAAAATCTCTTTGATAATTGTTTTCTAGTACGAAGGTGTTTTCAATCTAACACCGGGTATATTAGAAAAAGTTGTGCGAAATGTTGGAGAGGAAAGTGAAGCAGAGAGCGAGCAGGAGGAAGAGAACGAACAAGAAATAGAAAAGGAAGTGGAAATGGAATTGGAAAGAGATGAGGGAGAAATTGACGGTCCATATGTTGAGGCTGATAGCGACGATGATGATGATGATTATGATGATGATAACGACGATCTTTCTATGGTAAGTTATTACAATAACCCTAATGAGATATAACTGTTTTACGATAATCTATTCTGTAGAATGAGGATAGTGACTCGGGACAGAAGGAGGAAATTCAATTGTCCGACAGCTTCGAATCCGACGTCAGCGATATTGAGGTGAGAATTCGACATAAACTTGTGTTTGTCGAGTTTATTTGCGTTTATTGTTGTATTATCATAAATCCTGAAAATACGTACTGTACGTCATTACAGGACGTCGTCAAGCCATCCACAAGCAGGAAGCAAAAGGCGCCAAAAGTTGTCAAACCAAGAAGAGCACAGAAAAAATCGCGACCGAGAGTGGAAATCGAATACGAAGTGGAAGACACCCGACAAAGAGAACGAGCTTAATTCAATTGTATTATATAAATATTATAACTATGTTTATAATAAAAATTATTCAATTTTTGTGTACAAAAATCAAATTGCATAAAGTGTTTTACGTATATAAATTGATATTGTCCTCTGTTTCACGAGTTTTCAGAAGAATTTGACGCAGGAACTCTTATTAAAAACATAGTTCTAAACAATACAAAATACACTTAATTGATATAATGTGAAAAAAAGTCAAACGTATTCTACAATTTTGCGTCACAAACATTGTGACACGTTTGAAAGTTGCGCTCGCGGCGCGAGCGTGAAAGCGCCGAGCGGGAGGGGCGTGTGTGAAACGTTTGGAAAATGGTTGGAGGGGAATCGAGACATCTGTGTAGCAGACGATACGTCAGTCCTAACGAAAAAAAGGTAAGTCGCGCGATCGCTTCCCACAAAGATCTTAGAATCCGAACGCGCGACAGTTTCCTCGCGATTCGCTCGCCGTTTTCCGTCACGATTCGCAAAAGTTGATGCGTTTCGGTCGCGATTTATCGGGGCGTCTCTCTCCGCAGTGTCTCGGCATTGCGCATTCGGGATTGTCACGCACGTTGACATTCTCGTTTCTGTTTGCCTTCGCGTTGTCGATATTGACATTTGCCGGATTTGATCCGTCGGCGTGTTCGGAGCAACAGCGAGACGAACGTCAAGGACATGTCAAATCATCGGCGACGCGACGGCAATCAAGAATTGCCGCGATTTCGCTCTTTCGCTTGCTATTTATAGAGCAAGTAGGTTATATTTGTAAAATCAATCGCGGAAACACAAGCGATTATTACAGAGACGGCGGAACGAGTTATAAATAACGCAAAATTAACGCGTTAACGCGGCGTATTAATATCCGCGATTTTATGCAGAACTCACGATTTCACTTTGGCGGTGTGATTTGACGCGTAAGTACGCGAAAGTGCGTTATGTTCGTTGATTTGAAAATAAATCGACCTCGTCTCGATTCGCGCGATTATAAAACCCACGCTCTTGTGTCGAGCGCAATTTGCGCGACACAGGCGGGGGCGGTGGAGCTATCAATGCGCTCGTTGCGCGCGGATTTGTCTTTATCGCGGAAGTTTCGCAATTGCTCGCGCGAACGGCGTCGGATTCGCTCGCAATTAGATCCCTTGCGCTTTCGCAACGAGCTTGTCGATTCCTCGGCGAAGGTCTTTCCTCCGCGAGGGCCTTTCTCTCTAAATTGCATGTAATTTTTATCAATCGGCAATTTTCGTGATGCCATTTGCGATGGTCGCTGATGAATAACAACCTGTAATTTCTTTTCATCAGAGCATGTAGAATAATATCATCCCGCCTCACCCAGGAATCATCGGATTCGAGTCTACAGCTGGGAAAACAATATGAATCTGTGCTGCACAAGAGCCTGACTGAATCCCACTTCTGCAGTTGGACTTAACACACACACGCACACACACATACACAGTTGTTGCTTGATGCACAAATGCCAACATGTCGGAAAGTGCTGCTAACATGGAACTGAATAATGTAGGGAGCAACAAAAGTTCTATACACCTCGCCCTGTCGTTCAAAAAGTTGTGTCTGGCAACGGTTGGTTTGCCGCTCATGTCGTTGTTGTTTTGTTTTGTAACGGCGTACATTTTTCAGCAAGATGACATCCATGAAACTCACTGTAGAGTATGTAACATTTTGTATCTCACGTATGTTTAATAACATTACATGTTTAATATAAAGGTAATGTGTGTGTTTTTGTTTATCTCAGGTATACAACATTCTTCCATCGATCTCAGCCATCACCGGTGTATCTCCTCAGAGATATCTATGGCGTGTCAGCATAGCGTTACACATTGGACCTAGATTGGTTATCGCCAGTGTTTATCATTCGTATTATTGTAAAATACTTAAAGACATTGAAGATGTGCCTCTAAAACTCACAGGGAGCCGACTCCTGAACTTGTGCTACTGGTTGAACATTGCCGAGGTAGCAGCTCTGTCCGGTGTAACATATATTTCTAACAGAGAAAATTATTGTAAGTAACTCGCTTGCGTCGCGCACAATGCGAAATAGGTTCGTTTTTCTCTTTCTTTTGATGATAAATAATATAAAATGTTTCAGCGGTGCACGAAAAAATCTTCATAGTGTTCATGATCAGTTCGCTAACGTACATGCTGACTGCTGTAAGATTGGGTCGCCTAATAACTCCGAATGCACAAAGTCTTCAGTACAAACAGGCGCTTTTTGTGACGAGTATCTTAAGTACAATTGGTCTTATTATCTTCTTCTTGAAACATCGATTGCTGTGTCACGATCTGGGTAAGAAATTACAAATTGCAAATATACATTATTTTTCAGCATATATATATATAAGTTTAATAATAAAAGGAAAATAATGTTTGTGTTATAATTTTTCGAGCAGCGTTTAGTTGGTTCTCACTGTGCGAGTATGTGATAGCCTTTGCAAACATGGGCTTTCACATAACTGTGGTTTTGGACTTTCCAAAAGAGCAACTTGTTGTAGGTCACGGTTTACCCACTGCGAAACTAGATTAACCTTTTAGGATAATTCGTCATTCTCATCGTCATATTAAAGTGCCTATTGCCTCTGCGTGGAAGTGCTATGAATCGTGGTTTTCGGGAGGTGAATATTTGGCACGACGCACGTTGTATTATTTTACAATCTCAGTTTTGTGATATTTATGAAAATTACATACGCATATTATGTATTGTGTTCCGTCGAGATTGAGACGTAATCCTGATTTGCTTCCCCGCAAATTTTTTAGAAGAGCGAACTGTCCGTTTGTTTGTTTCTCTTACTTTCTCACGCGACATCGATTATAGATGTATGGAATAATAATTAGCAAATCTCAGCGCACACGTGAGACGAGACAGGAATATTTGTGAAGAAGAGATATGGAAAATCTAGCTCTTCCAAAGTATCGGCATCGATTAATAATCGTAGAGCGAGGAAATAACGGCCTTTTAATATCGACTAGTGTGATAGAAGCACGCTCGTGGCAATCGATTGTAAAAAAAAAACAAAAAACAAAAAAAAAAGCGAGTATCCTACATACAAACAGCATTTAGCTATTACATTGTGTAAAGTGAATATTATTACTGCATCGTGAGATTACGTGTAAAGACCTTTTTTTATAAAGATTTTTGCAATTGTGAGAATTCTAGTCGAACTTATTACTTCTAGTCGCGTATTGACTTTTATCTTCTTTATGGGGTACTTTTACTTTACGCTGTAAGTTGTAATGAAATTAGATTTTAGGAAATACGTACATGTAAACAACAAAATTATCACTGAAGTATTATAATCGATCATTGAAGAAAGAAATCATGTACATACTCGCACATACACACGCGCACACGCAATCATTAATCACAATAAACACACACATTAAGTTATCGGCAAAGATATTGTACAGCTGTTGGCGAAACTTTATACAATATAGAAATGGTAAGCTGATCGCCCTTGTAAGAGTGGGCGTGTTGAGATTTATCTTATAGAATTTTGAAATGTAAGAAACCAATGTTTACACAAGCCGCTCTCAGCGTTATTACATTGCAAATGTAGGATGATAATCGCGCCTATGTTTGTATGTAGTATACGATAGTTCAATATATATAACAGCAATTACCGACGGGCAAATTGCACTGAGGATTAAAGTAGTTACAAGTGTATTGCGCAAGAACGGGGATTTGCGTTTAGACGTTCAGTAATCGAGGCAAGGCCGTGAGCGCTTAAATATATCTCACGCGAATTAATATGCCAAGTACCGATAAGAGTTTGTTAAACGTTACGACTGAAATCCCCGTTTGTGTTGGTCGATGGTATCATAGACGTCAATAGTATCTCTCGGTGTGAGTCTAGATAGCACTCGCAATTAAAAAAAAAAAAAAAAAGAGAAAAAAAACGATATCATTTTTGCACGTTTTTACACACTACAACATTCTAACTATGTAGTATTTTGATATGATACAATTTTGTTAGAGTTTCTCACACAATACACACACAGAAGAAAAACCGTCGCTGTATTTATTATGCAGATACATATATATATATAAAATTTGTATATAAAATTATATATATAATTATATATACACATTATATATAATTATATATATAATTAATAAGCTGTATAATTATATATGTAATTATTATATATGTAATTACATATAATTAATGAAATATTATAACATATTAATTATAAAACTTTTATATATATATATATCATCGTCACAGTATACATATTAACATGGCGCGAAGTTTTAGGGAGACTTTTTGTAATTATTAGGAAAAGTTAGAGATTAGTTTTTTTTTGTGCACACATGCGCGCGCGCGCGATATGAACGATACAGTGAATTCGATATAACGTAACACGACGGTTCCTATCATATTTGCAGGTTTTCTACACTGATACGAAACCAAGTTCACTCACAGTCGCGTTTGATTTATCGATATTGTAATCGGTAATCCGTGCCAAGTGATGCTAAAGATATATATCGTGGAATTTTACGTGGATTTTCTCTTTCTCTCTGTCTCTTTCTCTCTCTCTCTCTCTCTCTCTCTCTCTCTCTCTTGTACGAACGACGGAGTCTCGATAACGCTGTGTAATGAATCACCTGTGCGTATATCTTGTACACTTTACTTAGCAAGCACTCTTTGAATACGTTGTAGCAATAATTCTGAATCACTTTTCTTGTATATTACATATATATTTTATTCGCTCGTAAAAGAAACAAGAACGACTGGCGTAAAGTAAGTACGTGTGTGCGTTAACAACTGGCTTTTGGCGATCAGATCGGAATGTGTTCATTCAGACATTTTTTTTTCTCCAAACGAGAAATCTGATCTCTAGATTTCTCCGAGAATGTAATTGAAGAAAGATGTGTGCGGCGACTTCAGACATTGTATCTTAATGGAATATCGTGTCGAATTATATCGCGTCGAGTCATTTTAGGAGAATTATATTTGATGTATCTTTTTGTACATATTTATGTATATGTATACTTACATATACATATACATATATGTACGTGTATAGCAATTACTAGTGTGTAAAAGAATTATTTAGATATATATATATATGTATATGATGTTAACGGAAATAAGTTTCGACAAGTTTGTGAAACGAAAACCCGTAGTAGAATTAAGAGAGTGCTAAGTTCTATAATCTAGAGAAATCCTATATCGATATTAAGTTTGCAAATTGATTAATGCAAATTAATGCTTCCAAAGAGAGCTGTGCTAAACGTTTATTTTAGAATAATCTTTTTTATAATTGCGCCTAACGTAAAAAATTAACTTTATTATTTTATCTATACTCGCAAATTGTCGTCATTAAGATATCAACAAATCACTTTCATTGAGTGAAAACAAAATGAAAATTAATGAGAAGAAAACAAATTAAAGAGAAGTAACGAAGAAAGTTGTTCTACGTTATCTGTTTGAGGATATTTTTTTAATTTCCTAAGAAATTAGATTAAGCGAGAGACAACGGAGATTTTTCAAGGAAGTGGGAAAAACGCACTCGAAAATTTTGTCATCGTGTGAATTTTGCATTAGCGATAACGACTAAACATATCTGTCCAGAATGTCTCTATCGTAACTCAAGGCTCTCTCCTTTTTGCTGTAAATACAATGCTAACAACAGAGAGACATTTGTCATTCACAATTATCCTGTACAAATTACAGAGCGGATGTGTCTCGGTGGTGAACACAAGCAAATAACACGACGATTTTCTCTCTTCATTAGTGCGGCAATTTAAAAACATACAAATCTGAAGCTAAATCTTTACACAAATATTTACCGTATGCGGGGGTCGCGGCTATTTTTCCCGCGACTCTGTATTTTTCGAAATAATTTTGCTATTGAAACACTTTTTCTAATTTACAATGTATTTCGAAATTTTATCGATTAAGCGCTACGATCTCATATTTAAAAGAACAAAAAGAAAACAAACTACTACTCGATGTATCATTTGGGTAATTGACAATTCTGTGATAATAAGCACAAAATTTTTCCACGCTCTGTTCTATAGTTACGTTTTTCTCGGAATTTTCTTACATATCATCTTCCTTTCTTTTTCTTTCAGTATTATGTGTTTTCTCTCCTTCTTTCTCTCTCTCTCTCTCATAAAGCGTATTGTAATTTATTCGTGTTTTCAGCACATGGCAACTAAGTTCAATTCTGTTATTATCACAGAATTTCTCATTTTCCCGAAGCGTCTGCTCTTCTATATTCAACGACGAATCACGTAATGAAGTTGTGTATTTATCGCAGAAGTAGAGAATTAATTAACGGAGTAATCTATAGCGGTATAAACCTAGTTAACTAGTAATAATAATCTATCTTCAACCTGATTTTGTCAGAATTATCAGAACAACATATTCAATACTCTCTTTTTTGCACCCCTCCCCACATCTGTAATTAATTATCCCCCCTCTCCCCACACATACATATAAAAATGTATTGATATATATTTCGTGGCAAATGTCGAGACGTGTCCGAGGTGAAGAAACTGAGAAGGACATTTTTCGCCCGCACACACACACAACGTGTCTCCGATACCTCTTTGATCTCTGCCATGGTCTTATATGTCTCTTACATATACACATATATATATACATAACGTATAAATCAGTGTGAGAGTAATCGAACCTCAAATCCAACTGAAAATCCGCAGCATCGCCGAAGGTAATTGAACTCTGTTGACCTTAATGTAAGGGAATAAACGAGCGCGATTAAACGCGGCTGCCGTGTGTGACTCGAGAGAGACTTTCGTTCGTTCTCTTTCGCGTAACCGAATTTAATAAAATCGTTCGCTTCCCTCGGCTGTGCTTCGAGAGATTGAGAGCGGCTCGAACATTCTGCTCACGTTACCGATTTTATCGTTGTCATCGTGCGAAATAGTAGATGTATTTTCCTACGCGAGCGATCATCATCCGATGTAAATTAACACTCCGATTCCGTGTATTTGTGGCGATTATATATCCATACACACACACACACACATAAACACAAACACACGTGCATACACACACATACATATATATATATATATATATACAACCGCTGTAAAATAGAGTGCATTTCTGTAATCGGTTTAGGTCGAGTGCTCTATTCTGTGATTAAAAGGTATTTCTGTGTACGTGACGGAACCCGCAACAGGTTACTGATTTCAGTCGGAAGAATGATTTCTACTTGTATCGCGTAAATACGAACGATTGTCAAAATAAAACTTTATCGTATACATATATTCAGCAGCAGTTGGTTCCTCTTATTGATCTCACACAAATCGCTTACGCTACAGGTTTGTTCGATCGTTTTCTTATTATATTATTTTTGTACAATTATTTTATCTTACGTTACACTCTGTGTTTTAGTGTGACATCCATAGGTCGTGTGTTTACCTCGTTTCTCACTTAATCGAAGTGCGAGCGACAACGAGTTTGGATCCAACTCTCTTTCGCGGTTGCAAAACAGGTGGATTTTTCTGCGAATTGTTCGCCGAGTCTTTCACAAATAACGTGGACTCACGTAACTGCGAGCTTCTGTTTTCTCTTGGCGAATCTGCAAACATACAATTTTTTTTTTTTTTTTCTGTCGCGCGCAGTCGAAAAGTTCGGTCAAACCGGACGAACGGGTAAGTTTGCGGTGTTTAATGTCACTGGGTCAAGCACTAGGTCCGTGTGTTTACGTAAAAGCTTATTTATTAGCGACAAGGCGTATTTTTCCGCGATATGTGGAAATACGTTCGGCACACGAGAAAAACAAATTTCCAACACGTTACGTAAAACGTGTAATATCTGCAGTTTGCTATATTGGTTGTATATATTCGGACATATAAGATTATTAATAAACTTTGTGCGATTAAGACTCTGACTTTGAAATTTCTAGTATCGCAATATTTTTGCGACTGCCTCACCGTTTTTCCTTTCGAACAAATCTCCGTTCCTTTTTCCAAGTATCTTCCGAACATCCTTCCTCAGCGTATCGTTGTGTTCCCGAACTTCCTTCGCAGACTCCTTTTCCACGGTTCTCGAGGAGATTACCGGCGTTTCGAGGCATCGTTTGCACCGCCACACGAATCTGGGATCGTAAACGTCGACGTCGACGATTGGAGGTTGATGGCACAGAGGATGGTAAGTCTCTTGACACTCTTGACACTCCAATAGGATCATGGCTCCCAGTTTCGCGCCGTTGCACATCTTTCGCGCGTCGCAATGTCACGATTCAGTTAGTAATCAATAAATCTATTTTAAATACGGAGCGACGGGTGTAAGAAAATCCACAATGGATAAAAAGAACCTTGCACACAGCCGATCCGTCGTCGGGAATCGAGATCCTCGGAAAGTTTTCGCTGTCACAGCACTCCTCGAATACCTCCAACACCTTTACGTCGTCGTCGTCGTCGTTGTCCAGCGAACGGTTCGCAGTTTCCTCGTCAACCGCGAGAAGAGAAACAGCTTCGCCCGAGATCTCCGCCGCGCGCTTCTTCGCGGTCCGCATCGAGTAGGATGACGATTTGTCATTGCTCCGCAGGAATCGCCTCGGCATTCTGGCGGCCAGAGTCTTGCCCGGACCGCACTTCTTCTCGATGCAGGAGTCCAGCATGCGACGAAGTTTCTCGGCGCTGTCTTCCTCGGTCGAATGCAGAAGCGCCAGCGCGTCGAAGAAGTCCTCGTAGTAGTCGTCGAACGTGTTCTCGGTGATCATTTTTTATTCGCGTTTTATTTCAAACAAAGAGCAATCTTTAAAGTAACGATCTTAATTTTCAAAACAAATAAATATTACGATGCAAATGTCGCGATGTATAGGTATAGGTTAAAATGTAACACACATAACATAAACAACACGTAGCCGAAGCGACGAGAGAAACCCGAGCACGTAAAATCGCGGGATCAATAAAGCAACAATGAAGAGCTCACATAAATACTGCCCTCGTTTTTTTTTTTTTTTTTTTTTTTTTTTAAACTACGCGGTCGGAAACAGGTCTGATGTTTTGGAAACGTTTGCGGATTAAAGAGAGACCGAGACATTTTCGTTATGTATCGCGACTTTGACATTGTTTGCTCACGTACGATGGCGGGACGGCGTTCTCGGCGAATTAAGGACCGGTCATGCACAAAGGAGCGCGGTCCCGGCGGACCGGTAACAATCCTGGGAATTGTACGGACAGGGACGCTCTACGGATTTAGATATGCGAGTTAGTATCCACGGGACGGACGTTCGCCGTGAAATGTGCCGAAGGAAGGTGGCCGGCATTTATCGGGCTCGATCATCGACTCGCCCCGCTTGTATATCGCTCGGAATCGCAACGACGACGCACCATTGTTCTCGTGACTGTTTGCTAATAGAATCCGGTGCTTATGGTCATCGGTCCCCTCCCCTTTCCTCCCACCCGTCTCCTCTCGTGTTTGAATACTGAACATTGAATATTCAACAAACGCATTTCGATGTTGGCGGACTATTGACGTAAACGCGATCGACGCAAACGGCTCCGCTCCGATAAACCCGAAGAAAATCTGATGCAAGTTGCCGTTATCGCGTTACATGGCACAACGATCTCCCGATACAAATCCCTCCCGTGTAATCCCCTGTACTCTGTTGTAGAGCGACGTTCGCGAAGTTATCGCGTTTGACGTAAAACTCGCAAATTAAGAAAATATATTTTATTCGCGCAAAGCTCGGGATAAATGAAAGCAAAGTTGATTTAAAAGATAATAATTTTTTGTGTTCTTAATAATCATCAATTTAAAGCAATCGATTCAAGGTCGGTCAAATTTTTTTACGCCACTCGTCGGGATAAAAAAATATCTTCGCGGCGTCTGCTTATCTTGTGCAACGTCGTGGGACGGCGCGCGCTTTTTCGAGGGTTCCTCATCAACAAGCCTTGTCGCTTCTTCTTCGCGCTTTTTCGGGGGACGCGACCGGCGCGTCGAAAGGAGAAAGGGCGAGCGAGCGGAAAAGCATCCAATTATCATGCCCGATGCCGGGCTTCTCACCCTGCACAAGCTCGGTACCAGAATCGACTGGAATCCGGCCGGGAAGCCGGGCCCGGTAGACGTCGAACGAGTGGGATTATTCCGCGTCCGGGTTCCGGGGGCGCGGGGGAGGGAGCGGGGGCGGGCCGAGGGAACAATGTCGGAAACGACGGGGACGGTATGCCGAGATATGCAGGATATCGCGCAGAACTGCGATCCTTCGAGGTCTAGAGCGAGAGGGAGAAGCGAGAGGATACAGCTAGTGGCGCAAGTATAGTGAGCCAGATATGTACGCCCCCCGGCAGAGAGAGAGAGAGAGATAGAGAGAGAGAGAGAGGGGGAAAGAGAGAATACGTCTCTCTAAGTATATTATCTCTTCGAGGCGAAAAGGGAAGAGATGGAGACAGAGAGGAAAAGAGAGAGAGAGAGGGGAGGGAACAAGAGAGAGAGAGAGAGATCTCGCTCGCCGCGCGCGTACCGCCTAAATATGTAATAATATCTACGGCAGATACCGGCATTCCCCGACCTCGAGAAGAATTCGATCAAAATGTGTCGCGATACTCTCCCGGTATGCCAGGTGAGGTACGCGCGCGCGTTCACCTTCCCTCCCTCGTTCTCCTCCTTCAGCAGCAGCAGCAGTAGCAGCAGCTTCCTGCCAGTTTCTCATCCCCTTCGATCTTTCCGCACTTATCCCCTCGCTCCCGCTCGCGTATCCCGTGGCGTCTTCTTCTTCCGTCGCCGCTTTGTCCTCGTTTGCAATAGGATCGGATACAATAAGGGTGTCGTACACAAGCGCACCGTCCCTCTGTTCGAAACTTTATTCTCGGCGAACTCCTTCGAAACCTATATTCAACTTCTGTGTAAAATTTCGATTTGATTGTAGATTGGAATCTCCGAGACTTACCGCAGTTTCTTTCCTCGGCCAAGTTTCTCCTCCTCGCGAGGAAGTGTTGAATATATTTTTATATTGAAAAAATTTTCTTTCTTCTTCAAGTCGTTGTGCTTTTCGCGTTTTGCTAGGAAATGCGAAGACATATAGCGATATCTCACAGATTAGATATATTAGATACTAGATTTAACGTATGTACCTAGTGAATTTGACTTTGCATTATTATTGCGTGATAAAAATAAATTTATAATAAAAAGAGAGTGGTGGTGTGTGGTGAAAGAGTTTCCGAATAAAGAAACGAATAATTTAAAATCGCTTACCGGGCGCGCGCGCGCGCGCGCGCGAGGTTGTTCCGGAAGATCTAAAGGAGATCTCGATATTGCGAGAGAGAGAGAGAGAGAGCAGCGTCTCCGCTTTCAGGTGCAGCAGGAATTTTCGAATGCGCCGTTCGCGTGATATTTTAATACTTTATACCTCACGAGGGTCCCTGCGAGTAAATCTCTGCCATGATAAGACCCGCCAGGAATCTCACCCCCGTGCAACATCCCGCCGTTTATAAGAAATGTTTTCGAAGTTTATGAGGGCGACGCAAAGTTCTGGTGTGGTGTGGGGGAAAGACCCAAAGCCCTTTCACCCTTCTCATCCCTCGTTTCTTTTTTTTTTTTCTTTTTTCTTCTTTTTAAATAAACAAGAAAAAAAACAGAAACCAGCGACGATACAGAGCACCGCCGCTTCAAAGCTAACAACAAAATATCCACGTCATCGCCTAAAATATCAAAGAGACGCGATTAAAGATTTTACCATCCGAGAGTTTACGTTTCACACCGACAACGGCGGAGTGTGTGCCCGTGACGCCAAGTCCGCAGCGACCGTGTCCATTTCCGTCGTGTGACGTTACGAGCTTAGACACGGGTCGGGATTAGCCCATGTCAAACGTGCAAACAACGTACGTGTACAATAAATATGCATATCGCGCATGACGGAATTGCGCGTTATTCCGAATATACGTGCAGTTCTGTGACGTTAGATTACACACACACACACACACACATACATCTATGCTTTTCAAAGCTCTCCACAGAAAATCAAATTTGACAAAATAAACTGCTACTATATATATACTTTTGTCAATTTGAATTGATGTTTTTCTTTCGATTCTCTTTCAGTTTTTCGTGGACGCGAAGAATTGGATCTCGCTCGCGTGTAAAAACGTCGAGTCGAGACGACGCTGCAGATTTCTTGCGGGAGTCAGGTGCGGAGCGTCGACGCGGTGCGTGTCGATGAACCTAACCACCCTATATCTCTCAGGTTGAAAGTCAGCAGACGCGCGGTTGAACGCAAAGTGCATCCTTGCATAACGCGGAATCGCGCGCGCGCGCGCGCGACGTTTTTTTTATTTCTTTCGCGACACATACGGAAAGTGAAAAATATGCGCACGTATATTTTCTCGGTTAACGATTATCCGCGCCGATGCAACGGCGGGGTTCATTCCCTTCCCCGCCGCTCGGGCATTGTTCTTACGCTTTTCAATTAGCTGCATCGTCAGCGCGGCTCGGCGTGGGGTTTTACGACTTTACGACCTTATCGACATCAAACGGGAAAATTCGTGGCGTATTAGACTCAAGAGTCGAAATAGCTCGAATAAGCGACGGCGGCGCATAATATGGGATAATTTATCAATTTCATCTCGAGCTAAACTCCGCACGTTAGAAATAAGATAAGCCGTTGCGCGTATCGTTTTCCTCTCTCGAGAGAGAAAGAGAAAGTCTTTTTTCCTCTCTCACCGTTTTTCTTTCGAAACTCCGGTCACGCGCAAAATACGAAAAAATTTCGCGGAATTTTGTCATTGTGTGAAAAATCGCGGTGGAAATCGAGTGTGTTGACGTAATTGAGTGATTGTGAAGGAACACACGCCGGACGAAAATTGGGATCGAAACGCGCGACTGTTTCCGTTCGTACGTACACGATGTAGTACAACACACAACGCTGAAAACTCGCCGACGGGCGCGTTGCGCTGTTGTTGGCGCGTTTGCAAACTTTTGTGCGGCACAATGCAGCTGACTGACAAAAGGAGCTCATTGCGCGGCAAACGTTTAAAGGCATTAATTACGACCGGGCTTTGTGCCCACTCGCAAAAGTTAACAGCTCCGGGCATTATTTTCGTACGCGAACTGTGTGTTTTGGTTCGCGAGAATTCACTGTTTGACATCGTCGTTATTAATCTGCGCTGGTTTTTTTGTTTTAGAATACTGTAGCACTGTCGTGTAACAGGTTGAAATGTTGCCTCTGTGTGTTTTGTTTGTTTGTTTTTTTTTTTTTTTTTTTATTGTATGTAATATTGACGCGAAAACTACTCGTAGTTGCGATGTTACAATTTGTAAAATAAACCAATTTACATAAAAACTAAATGTGTGAAAACAAAAGAACTCGCGCGGGTCTCAATAGCGATAAAATTTAAAAATTAATGTTTTCATTATTGAGAAAGTAAATAATATAGTTAATAAAATAAAATTGACGAACAAAAAAGAGCGGGAGAAAAAAGAAAAAGAAGAGAACAAGAGATATATTCTACATCTTTGAAAATTAACTACCAAAGAATGAAGAATAACAAAAATAAAACATTTATAATACGACTGCGTTATGTGTGTGTGTCGGTAGCCACTTTGGCAGCTTTTCGAAATAATCTTCATGCTTTACGTGCACTATGTATATATATATATATATATATATATATATTCAATGCATATTTTTGAACGGTACTTGATTAATAAATTGTCATATGAGATGTATGAAAATGCGTTAATTGACTCGTACCGAGCTTCCTCTTCAAGCCGGCCGATGCGCCACGTTCTCATTTATTAACGCTTTTCATTTGCAGACCCTAAAACGCGTAACCCCTGAAATTCAACAAGTGCTCCTTGAATCTAGAGCGAGAGAGCGAACGGATGGGAGTACGAACCGGCCAACATCCAACCTCTATTACGTGCGTGACGCGACTGATCCATTCGGTGGGCGCGGGGGGCGAGGCACGAGGACACTCGGCGACGGGGTGGGAAAGCGGAGAAGGGCGACTCGTGCGTGGTGGGAGATCGGCGAGACAGCAGCTCGGCCATCGTCGGCCGTCGTCGGCCGTCTCCGTGATTCTGGTTTCTCCCGCGGCCGTCTAAGCGGTATCAGCGTGTGCGCAGACCGGGTGCGCAGCAAGCGTGTGCGTTGTCCAGATTCTTTGTGCCATTCCTGGCATACCAAAAACAAGAGTGGTGACCGTGCTCGTATTTACAGAGGTGCAGTCCTGCGCGCTAATATAACACCGTGTGAATTTCGCTCGTGAAAATAAGAACGTCCTTGCGCCCGTGCGCGTGCCGCCACGTCACACAGCTCGCCCAGTGGTAAGTACACGATACAAAATACTGCTGAAAACGCCGTCCGAGAAAGAGCGCGTCCACGCCCGTGTGTCGTCCTGACGGTGGCGTCGTCTCGCAGCAAGGGACGAATACGACCGCAGCGACGACGGCATATTACCTGTAGAGAGAGTGAGAGAGAGAGAAAGAGAGACGGAGAGAGAGTGAGAGAGAGAGGTGTATGTACATATGTACGTGTTTGTGAGAGAGAGTGCGTGAGAGAGAGAGAGAGAGAGAGAGAATCACAGACGTATGGACATGAACGACAGTGGGACAGAGGGAGCAAGAGACGCCGTGTGTGAGAACGAGAGAAAAGGAGCGATTTAAGCGCGCGTGTAATTCTGCGTGAGAGCGGCTTAAGTCGGCGAGCAAATGCGCGACGCCGTTATTATCCGATTCTTCCGTACGACTCGCTTGTCACATTTGTAAGATACTTCCGCCAGTCGCGACCACAGATGCGACGTCGCCGGTTTTATTTACCGTCAATGTAATGAACTCCGAATTAGTATATAAGTTGACAAGAAAGAAAACAAACCGGGGGGCGGGTAAGTCGACGCTTTCGGTGGAAATAACAGGTGAAAGGAAAGGAAACGAAATCCGCGAACAGTCAGCGCGAAGGTGATCGGAGCGCGAGAGAGTTTTGATCCTTGCCGGCTTGTTTTCCGGCAGAAGACCTGTTTACATCAGACGTTCGGTGTCCCGGGGTCATCCACTCGTGTTTACGAGCGTGCGTCGCCGTGTCAGCTGTGCGTCAAGGAGCGTTGCTCTACGGGAATTGCGCGCAAGAGCCGATTCGCGGGCAGCGCGGCGCGGCGCGGGCGACTCGGTTCGCCCGTTGGAGGTTAGGGTTGCACACTCTCTCTCCTCTCGTGGTCGTTGTCGTCGTTGCCGCCGCCGCCACCGCCGCCCGTTGCCGCCGCCGCACGGTGTGGGCTGCGTGCGCGTTTCGTCGCTACACCGGCGCGCGCGAGAGAGAGAGAGAGAAAGAGAGAGCGGGGCGCCGTGACGGAAACGCGTGCTGCTCTCCACCTAGTCGCCTGTCTGCCAGCTCGCTCGCTCGTTCGTACCGCTCGTCCGCTTCTCGTGTTCTCGCTCGCTCGCGTCGACGCTCGCCCGCTCCTGGTGAATTCGTATGGTGAATTATTGATCCGCGGCGGCGTGTGCGTGCGGAAAAACCGCCGTTGCGCCTGAGGAGGAGAGAGGAAGGCACTCGGAGGCTAAGCGCAGAGGTCAGAGGAAGAGAGACGTACCGATAAGGTTTATAGAAGGGAAGGTGGGGAGAAACAGAGGGAGAGAAAGATAGAGAGAGAGAGAGAGAGAGACGAATAGGATAGCCCGCGGAGCGGCGCGCGCGGTGGCGCGAGAAGGCGCTTGAAGCGAGCCGCACGTCACGGGGTGAGAAACGTGCGCTGGCTGGTGTGATTGTATATTGTTTTGAAAAGTGTCGGCGCGCGCGAATGTGTGCACGCGACGCGTCGCGAAGCTGAACCGGCGAAATTCTCTCCGAGAACGCGAGAGAAGAGAGGGAGAGCTCGCGAAAAGAAAAAGTGGTCAATCTTTCTCTTGTGTATCCGTATTTTCGCGTATCGCAACTCGTGTTGAAAAGAAGTACACGCGTAAAAAAAAAAACCGTCGGTCGGGCCGTCACGCGTGCTGTGTTTCTCATCTCGTCGTCTTGTTGTTTTGTACACACCCGCCGGATCGTCGTGGATGCGCGCGTAAAACGTGCCGCGAAAAACGGGGGTTTTTTTTTAACGCCGCGATAACGCGGGAAAAGTGTCGTTGGTAATGCACGCGGCGAGCCGCGTCGAGCCGCGACGCGCGACGGACCTGTCGTCAGGTGAGTGAGTCCGAGAGAGGCAAGTGCCGAGGAGAGGATCCAGAGTTTTTTTTGTTTAAACGAGAGAATTGCCGCGCGCGAGGGAAGAGAACTCTCGTCGCCCCGACGAGAAGGTGTTTTGAGATAATTTGTTGTGTTCTGTCGTCGTCGCGGACTACGCCGACGGCGACGACGGCCGACGAGAGGGAACGGCGCGACGAGGAAGAGGAGGTTGTAGCGTCGTCGTCGTCTCTCGCGCTGACTTGGGGAGAGACCGCCACGCCGACGTCGTTTTAACGTAAATCCGCTTTACAAATCAACGCCGTCGATTATTTCCGGAGGAAGCAACGTTCCACCTTCGCCACCGCGGCTTGGATGGATACTGTGCATTATTTCTGGAGTGAGTCTCTCTTTTTATTTATGTTATGTGCGTGCGTGCGTGCGTGCGTGCGTGTGAGCGCGAGCGAGCGAGCGTGAATATCTCTCCCAGCTCCTTTCCGTCTCTATCGGTCATCGACGGACGCGAATGCGTGGACACGAAAGAAGGGCGAATGTAAACGCCGCGCTCTGTTCGCACAGCCGGTTTTTTATCCTCCTCTCTGACCGATGTAGACGACGCACGACGAGATTTTCTTTTTCGATCGTGTAGTGTATAGGTATTTACTCGCCATCCGTACTCGGGCTTGTGCAACACGCTCTTTCTCGCGCGAACAGCTGCGGTCGTGTCATTGTTTACGTGTCTCTCTTACTACGCGCGTCGAGCATTTAACAACTTAAATCTCAACGCGATAGGCTCGTCGTTGTTGTTTTTGAAGTGTGTAGTTTGGGACGTCAATTTTAGTTTTGGTCCTTCAACACTTGACAAAAGTGCGAAAATCAATTTTACGTTTATCGAGAGACACGAGTGCAATAAAATCCTCGAGTGTTTTCCGAAAAGACAAATAGTTGTCCGCACACACATTTCACGTTTTTTCTTGTAAATATATATGGAAAATTAAGATTTCAGTAAAAAAAAAAGAAAGAAGATAAGATAAGCGGTGCTTATGCAAAACAACTGTGATATTGTCGTAATTATAATGTTAAGCATAAAAGTTTACAAGATGCCATTATTCATGCAAACGTATGTAAATAAACAAGCGAAAGACAAACTTCTTCGGCGATAAGAAAAAAAAAAAAAGAAACATTTTAATTTCACGAGAATACATTTGCCACATAAGTTTAGGATTAAAACTACGATCACGAGATTGTGTGTCACATTCTCGCCAAAATCTCTCGATTTTATCGAGACGCAGAAGGATCGTTTCTTAAATCGATTACGTCAATCTGTTTTTACTCCCCGTTTAATCTCGTCGCACACCGATAGCGCGGCTATCAATTCGCTAGGAGTTATCGCCGTCGTGACAAGTTTCCCCAAACGTTACTGGGTTTTTTTTTTTTTTTTTTGCGAATTTTCTCGACAAGCGCGGGAAATAGAAAGAATCGCGCGTAATCCGAATTGCGACTCTAATTTCGCGCTTGTAACGCGACGATTATTACAGCGGGCCGCAATCTGTGTCGCCGAAGCGTGACCGCTTTCGTTAACGAATGCGAAAGAAAAAAAAACGTCAGATGACAGTCGACCGGCGGCGGTGACGTTATCACGTCAGCTTATCGAAAATAACTCGGCGCTAAACACGCGGCAATGCACCGTTACATAAATTTAATCGGATAACTCGTTATCGCGAACGAACAATTGAGACGCACAGGTATACACTAGACACGCTCCAGTTTAACGGGCTGTTGATATTCGCTTATTTATTTGATACACCGGATACGTTGGTAATATCGCTCTCGAGTAACGATAATCGGAAAATAAATTCGCCGGTGACCGATAATTTAAATTAATAAAGATAAATAATTTGTGTTACGTTCGAATAATTAATAACATTATCGATATTATCGATTCTCTCTTACGTGTATTTAACGACTTTTTCCTTAAATGAAAATGTGATTTCTAAAACCTGCTCTAACGTGTATATGTGTATATATATGTTTACATATCTAAATTGTTTGTCTGTTAATTTAAATTGTTAATCACCGTGAGAATTTTTTATATATAATTTTTATATATATAACGTTTATGTATATTAAATATCTTTTATTACATTTTAAATTGTTTTATCATATTTTTGTTATATATTTTTATATATTTTTGATATATTGTATAATATTTATATTGTATATACACAACACACACATATCTGAAATGAGTCTTTTTTAAAAAGAGAGTCCGCGTTGCAATTTTATCTGCGTACCGAATTCACGTTGGCGAATGCAACTCGCGCCAAGAGACGCTTTCTGATTAAAGCGAGCCGAACTTGAGTTTTTCCTCAAACGCTAACGAATTTTTCCCCCGGGGGAGTCCCTTTTGCGGAGTCCGTTTTCGCGTCGCAGTCTTACTTTCACGCACCGTCGAAGTTTGATTGCGAACTCGCAATCAAGAGATTCCTCTTTGACTCTTTGTACGAGTTCGCTCGCGCAAGAGAGTTTTACGCTCTTATTTTCGTTACGCTCGCAAAAAACGTTGTTGCAACTCCGCACGATATTTAATTTCGTCAGCGCGTTTTTCGGAAGCGAGCGTATCAATTATTAACGACAAAAAAAAAACAAAAAAAAACAAGAAACAAACAACTCACAGTTAACACGTTATCCGCGATCTACAAATATTGCACGTCCTTTGTTTACAATGTGGGAGATAAGTGACGATTGTGGACAGGCACATGTCCACGTGTCGTTCTCAAACGGGGAAGCTGGGTGGGAATCCGGTATCCGTGCGCGGATGATAACGCAACATAGACCGTGATAAGACGTCGCGTTTTGTCAGTCAACGATTTCCTCTTTCAAAACGTCGCGTCGACGACAATTACAGCGAGATGACGAGATTATTCGAAAATAGATACAATACGATCAAAGATTTCTCACAATGCACTCGTGATATTTGCGTATCGTAAGCCGACAATGTTTATTTCCAGAAACGCCGCGTTTATTTATAGAAATCGTAAGAAAAATTTAGTCGAATTTAAAATCGCGAAACTGTCTAGTCTACATTGTTTTCTTCAAATTAGTCAAAAATATATTTCTCTGGTTCTTATTCTGTAATACGAACAAAATTACATCGTCAATTATGCAAATTGCATGTTTATTTTCTGCAGATATAAAAACAGATTTATCGAGATATTTGTATTAAGATTTGTCGTCGCTCAACCGAATCGGTCGAAAATCCGGAATATCTGACTTTCAAAACTCCGAGAGAAAAAAATATATACATCGTCGTACCGGAATCACATTGCGACGGGCTCTATACGGGGATGCACGCTATTTCAATATCCGTCTCGCGGCGTGTTTCTCTATTTTCCGCGAATATACGTCACCGCGACCAATTGTGCTAACATTTACAAATGCGTCTCCGCTTTCTACAAACAGAGCGCGTTCCGAAGTACGCGCGAGGATTTCGTTCGTCCCGCGTCGCTGGGAATTGGGGAAAAAAAAAAAAAAAAAATCCCGTTTTTTGTTGTTGCGGGATACGAAAAAAAAGTATTAACTTTTTCTCGCGGATAAAAACGAAATTTTCGCGAGTCGTCCGCGAGCAACTTGTTTTCTTCTTAGAGAGTAGCTCGCCGCGCTACGTGCTCGTAGCCGGAAATTGCGACGCCGGAAGCGATCAAACGAAACGAAAAAAGTTTTCCGCAGTTTATGCCCAAGTAACTTTTTTCCCGATAAAACTATTCTCCGCAGAGCCCGAGAGAGAGAGAGGATCCGCGCAATATCGCACAGCTGTCAAAATCAAAGGCTCGCTCTCGGAGCAGCGCGAGTGTTTCGAAGACACTTTATATAGTTTCAGCAAAAGATTTACGTATGCGAACCGCGTTACGGATTAACAGCATTACAACACGGCAATACGATCAACGATTTATTTTCCAGCTTGCGAGAAGATAAAACGTCTTCGTTTTATCTTCTCCTTTTGCGCTGCGTCATAATTCAATATGGCTGACTCAGGTATCACTGACCTTTTAATATCGGTAAGGTCGGTTCTGACGTAAAATTTAACGGAAAGTCACTTCTGTAGCCGGTCAACAACAGGTGCAATTCTCCTCTCCTTTCGCTCCTCTCGCTCGCGACCGGTCGGCTATCGTTTCTCTTCCTCCTGCGCTCCTGCACGCGAACCGTGAGGTGAATGAGTCCAAACCGGTAGCCATGTCGGTATCGGTGTGCGTTTCGATAAAATTCTTTATTTAAATCTCTCGCTCGAGGCGCGCAACGAATGATGTTGCCGTAATCTTTCTATCTTATCGCGGCCGAAGAAGAAGATCGTCGGGGAAAACGAAGCGACTCCGGAAACGCGATCGCGAGGAAAATCGCGTTTTCCCAACGACGAGTTTATATTGTGTGTCGTATCGCGCATTTTATCGGTGTTTCAATTATTCAAAAAAAAAAGACTGCGCGCGGGAAGTCGCGGTGCCGTTTTTTCTTACGTGTTTATCTTCCTTCCAATTACGCGAATGGCGTTTGCGCTGGAATTTACTATCGCGTTTATCGCGCGATATATAATTTTTTTTTTCTTTTTTTTTTCTTTTTTTTCAAATCGAAGACGCACGCGAAGGACAGAGAGAGATTTTAAGTACAGGAAGAGTGTGACGCTGCGTTGCCAAGTTCTTGTTCAACGCGTGTGTGTAGTACGTGTTTTTATCGAAAGATAAATCTGTGAACAGAGAACGCGGATTATGTCGCGAGTCGCGCACACATACTTTCTTGACAATACGATCGACGACTCTCTTTTCGCGAAAGCTTTTTGATCTCGCGACGCGATGCTCGCGGCCTTGGGAGCGCAACGCGAGCCGCGCATTGTTAAATGAACGGATTGTTTGTACGCGCGGACAATTTTTCGCCCCGAGCTATGACTCGCCTTTATTCTTCTTCGGCTCCCCGTTTCATCCCGCTCGCGCGTCTCATACAGGGTGTCTCGTTATTTCTCTGGAAAAATTGTTCTCGCAGTAGTTTTTAAACACTCTTTGAGAGATTTTGAATCCGGTTTGTGACGAACTTTCTGTAATTTTTTTTTTTCGAGTTTAAAATTTTTTATATCGCGAAGTAATTTAATTTAGTTTGTCTTCACATTAAAATTTAAGACCAATAGGACGACGACGTTCACTCGCGGAATACTTGCTCGTGTACGGGAGAAGGACGAAAATTTTCTCGTGAGAGATGGTATTAAAATGATTGCTGTTTTTTTTTCTTTGTTTGCATTCCTGTTCTCCAAGAAGCGGGGAACACAATGGAACACCTTATGGAAAGCGATGCAAGTTGCACAATACCCGGTCTACACATTAGTCGCAAGTTTCTCGCGGATATAAATAGGATGCC